CCTTATTTTGGAAAGAAAATGCCACAAAGGACATTTATTAGTAAGGAAGAGAAGTGAGCACCAGGATTGAAGGGGGGCAAGAAGGGGATAGGCTAATCCTACTGTTTTGTGCAAATGCAGTCGGGATTATGATTAGGATTGCCCTCATCTATATAGCTGCTAACCTCAAGGTCCTGAAGGGAAAGGGTAAAGACTAACTGCCAATGTTTTACTTGTACGACAAAAAGGCCTGAACACTGAGAACCCTTTTCCTAGGCTGATTCCATTGATGCTTTGTCCCTGAAGTCAGAAAGTACCTTGCCAGTGAAGGACTGCCTTTTAAAGTTCTTTTGATATTGGACAATGCCCCTGGCCATCCAGAACCCCATGGGTTCAACACTGAAGAGACTGAAATGCTCTATCTGCCCCCAAACACAATGTCTCTAATTTAGCCTCTGGGTCAGTGGGGCCATAAGGACCCTTAAGCTCATTACACACATTACTCAAGGGAAGACTGTCAACACTATGGAAGAGAACCCCAACATGGAGAACATCATGAAAATCTAGGAGGTTACACCACTGAAGATGCCATCATTGTTAGAGAAGAAACCGTGAGGGCCATCAAAGCCTAAATGATAGATTCCTGCTGGAGAAAACTGTATCCAGATGCTGTGCATGCCTTCACAGGATTTATAGCAAAGCCAATTAAGGAAATCATGAAAGAGAGTGTAGATATGGCAAAGAAGTTAGGGGGGTGTGAAGAGGTTTCTAGATATGGATCTTGGAGCAATTCAAGAATTGATAGATACCACACCAGAGGAATAAACAGAAGACAACTTGATAGAAATGAATGCCTCTGAACCAGTGCCAGGAGATGAGGAAAGATGTAAAAACCAGTCCCAGAAGACAACTGACACTGGACAGTAGACAGTCCAGCAGAAGGATTCCAGCAGAAGTCAAGATGACTTTGACTTCTTTTACAACTGGGATTCTTCTATGATATAGGTAATGAAACTACGGCAAATGGTGGAAAAAGCATTGTACCATATAGAAACATTTTTTAAAAAGATTTATTTTAGAGAGAGAGAGAGAGAGAGAGAGAGAGAGAGAGAGAGAGAGAGAGAGAGAGGGGAGAGGGGCAGAGAGAGAGACAGAATCTCAAGCAGACTCCCTGTTGAGTGCAGAACCTGCCAACCCTAATGATCTGAGCCGAAATCAAAAGCTGGCAGCTCAGGTGCCCCCTATATAGAAACATTTTTGGAGAAATGAAAAAGCAAAAAAGTCAGAAATTACAATGTATTTCTGTAAAGTTCTACTGAGTGTGCCTGCCTCTCCTGCCTCTTCTTCTACCTATGGCACCCCTGACACAGCACCAGTTGCTCCTTCTCTGCCTCCTCCAGGTGAAGATGACAAGCACAAAGACCTTTATGATGATCCATTTCTACTTAATGAATAGTAGATAATCATGCCATACAACCAATAAACATCTAGTGTGTGTGTGTGTGTGTGTGTATGTATATATATATACATACATACATACATACATATATATATATATCTGTGTGAAAATCTGTGTCATCATCTCATCATTGCATAGTATTCACTGTAGAACATTACGTGTAACACTTGTACGGAAGCGGACAGACTATCCTTAGGTAGGCAGTGATAGGCAATAAAATTAATAATGTGTTAGTTTTCTTCCTGTTTCATAACTTTGCTTTTGAAGAATTATAGTATAGTATGGCTCTCTCTCCCCCAATCAGAGAAATTGCTTATCAGCCTTTCATCACACATAGGTTGTTTTTTAAAAAATGTAACAATGTTTCTTTCCATCAGTATCATGAAATAGTACTACAACACTGTATGCCACAACAATTCATTCATTATTATATAGGCTAGGTGCCTGGGAAGTGATTACATTGATTACACTAGGCCACCATAAAGCAACCATATTGCTGCTTCTTTGTTATCAGTGCATGAAGAGCTATACCTGCAAATAAATATAAATTTTCACATTATTGGGACGCCTGGGTGGCTCAGTGATTGAGCGTCTGCCTTCGGCTTAGGATGTGATCCCGGGATCCAGGGTCGAGTCCCACATCGGGCTCTCTGCAAGAAGCCTGCTTCTCCCTCTGCTTGTGTCTCTGTCTCTCTCTCTCTCTCTGTGTCTCTTGTGAATAAATATATCTTTAAAAAAAATCTTCACATTATCTTTTCATTTTTGATGTCAGTATTAGTAATACATCTACAGTATTCTATATGACATAGATAATGATGGAGACACAGATGATTCATCTTGTACACAAATACTATAAACTGACAATATTGATAAATATAGTACAGTACTATACATTTTCTCTTCTGTATGGTTTTCTTAGTAATATTTTTGTTTTTCCAGCTTACTTTATTATAAGAGAACAGTTTATAACACATATAACATACAAAACAGTTAATCAACTATTTAGAATTATCAGTAAGGCTTCCAGTCAACAGTAGGCTGTTATTATTAAGTGTTTGGGGCAGTCCAAAGTTATATGTGGATTTTCAACTGTATGGACTGGGGGTTGGCACCCCTAACCCCTGTGTTGTTCAAGAGTCAATTGTATATGTTATATACAAACTATTTTATAATTATCTTTCTTTTACTCATAAATTTATCATACATATTTCCATGTCTATGAAAATACTTCTATAATGTAATGAATAATATCACATAGTGTTCTCTTATATAAATGTTTCATAGCTTAATTCTATATTCATGGAAATTCAATTTTTTCCTTCCTATTTTAAAAAACATTATTTATTTAGTTTAGAGAAAGAGTGTGTGCAAGCATGAGTGGGGGGGGAGGGAGGGAGGAAGAGAAAAGCAGACCCCCTGTTGAGTGCAGAGCCTGACTTGGGGCTTGATCTCATGACCTTGAGATCATGGCCTGAGCTAAAGTCAAAAGGCAGACACTCACTGGCTGAGCCACCCAGGCACCCCTCTATCTTCCTATTTTTTTTTTTAAAGACTATTTATTCATGAGAGAGAGAGAGACAAACAGACAGAGAGACAGAGACAGAGAGACACAGAGAGAGAGAGAGGCAAAGACATTGCAGAGGACAAGGCAGGCTCCTTGCAAAGAGCCTGATGTTGGGACTCCGGGATGATGCCCTGAGCCAAAGGCAGACACTTAACTGCTGAGCCACCCAGGCATCTGGTATCTTCCTATTTTTAAAACATTGCTTGAAGGAACAGCCTTTTAACTGAGTTGGTGCATGCATACTTGACTATTTTCCTACAGATTTCTAGAGGTAAAACTGTCAGATCAAAAGAGACGAACAATTTCAAAACTTAAAAAATAACATCACCAAGCTATCTCCCACAAGAATGGATCAATCTTATATAATTACCAGCAGTGTAGGAAGAACTTATAAACCCCATAGGTTTTATAAGTTTGAAACTTGTTGCCATTTTGTCAAGGGGGACATTCTTTATCATTTATTATTTTAATTTCTATTATCTAATCACTGGAAGGTGGATCACTGGACAATGGACAATGAAATATATGTTCATTGCCATTTACATATATTTAAGAATGGCCTCTGAATGCCCTTTGTCAATTTTCCTTCTTTGCTGATTTTTAAGTTTTTTCTTTTTTTTTATGTATGTTAGGGGTATTACTTCTTTATCTGACACATATTTTGTGACATTCTTCCTCATCCTGGGTTATTACTTGTTTTTAGATTTTGCTTATGGTGTGTTTTTTCTCTTTGACATTTCCCATTTCATAGTTTTTATTATTAAAATTTGTTTCAAAATGTTTTCTGAATCTGTTACCAAGGATAAAAAGTCATTCCTTAACCCATGATTATATATCTATATGCTTTCAGCATAATGAGCATTTGTTTTTATAATTAAAATCTACAAATACTTAAGAAAATTCTGAATCTAGGGGGATCCCTGGGTAGCTCAGCAGTTTAGCGCCTGCCTTCAGCTCAGGGCATGATCCTGGAGACCTGGGATCGAGTCCCACTTCGGGCTCTCTGAATGGAGCCTGCTTCTCCCTCTGTCTGTGTCTCTGCCTCTCTCTCTCTTTCATGAATAAATAAATAAAATCTTTAAAAAAAAAAAAAAAGAAAATTCTGAATCTAGTTCTCCGAAGATGACAGTTCTGTAAGAGTGGCCATGATACAGCTGGAACACTTCACTTCTAGCAAACTTCACTTGTGCCTGACAGGGAAAACAGAGGCCTTCTTATACTCCTTCTTCCACCAGAAACCATTGTCATTTAAACAAATATGCCTCACTGGCCTATATCAGTAGAAAAGTGACCCTTCCTTGTTCCACATTCTAATGTGTGTATTTCCTCCAGTCCCCAGGGATCATTCCCCTTGTTCTGTAACTTGAGTGGCTCCTCTCATAGGGCTCTTTCCTCCTAGTTTGTACCTACTCTCATCATTACTTTCTATAAAGGTCCCTAAATCCTGTGCTCTCCACTGCTTACTGCTCAGCTTTTCCTTTCCTTTGAAGTGCAGCTTCTTGGAGAAGTCATCTATTCTGATCACATCTTTTCTTCTGCAATGGAGACAATTTGATTCATGCTTCCAGGACTCTCATCAGAACTCTCCTCTTGTAGGTCACAAATGGTCTCTTGGCTGCAAATCCCAAAAGGGTACTTTGTAGTCTGTACTTCACTTCTCCTTTTGGCATTTGTCACTGTTTGTCTGGTTAGATTGATTGATTGATTTATAATTGCAGTAAAATTAGCACATAATGTTATATTAATTTCAACTGTACAACACAGTGCTTCGACAGGGCTATACTTTACTCAATGATGGTAAGTGGAGTTATCACCTGTCACCAAAAATGGTGTCACAATATTACTGACTATATCCTCTACGCCGTACTTTTCATCTCCATGACTTATTTGGGATTTGTCACACTTGACCATGCCTTCCCTAAATCTTTCTTTCATGATGTTATGATACAACTTTCTCTTGGTTTTCCTCTTACCTCTATTAGGGTGACTTTTTGGCTGGCTTGCTCATTTTTCTTTGTGCGCATATCCATTATGTGTCCTTGGTCCTCACGGCTCTGCTCTTTGCCCACTTCAGAACTACAGGAGGGAAAGAAGAGAAACAAGACCCCATGAGAAAGCTGCTGTAACAGCTCACATTAGGCTCTGATTTAGGATAAGGACAACAGGAATACAAGGGGAGATTGACAGGAGGGTTTGAAAGAACATTTGATGCACTATATGAGTGATTAGACTAGGGGGTGAGCGGCAGGGAGTAACTTAAAACAATGCAGAGACATGAACCTTCAACTGGTTGGGCTCCTTCTTTACTATGATGAAAGGACAGAATAAAATAAATTTTACTTCTCTCAGAAAAGTATCAGCTGCTTGGTAAAAAACATAAAGAAAGTTTTATCAAAGTAGATGGAAAAATGTGTGTGCATAGAAATAACAGGAGATTCCTTAGGGACAAAAAAGAAGGTAAATGAAATTTATCTATTTATATTTAAAGATTTTATTTATTTATTTATTTATTTATTTATTTATTTATTTGAGACACATACACAGGGAGGCAGAGACATAGGCAGAGGGAGAAGCAGGCTCCTCGCAGGGAGCCCAATGTGGGACTTGATCCCGGGACCTTGGGACCATGACCTGAACCAAAGGTAAATGTTCTACCACTGAGCCACCCAGGTACCCCAGGTGAAGGAAATTTCTACATAGAAAGCTGTGACATGATCTAGGAATTCCACTACTAGGTATCTACCCAAAGAAAATAAAAACACAAATTCAAAGAGATATATACCTCTATGTTTACTGCAGCATTATTTTTACAATAACCAAGATATGCAAGGAACCCAAGTGTCCACTGTTAGATGAATAAAGAAGATGTAGTATGTATGTGTATATATATATATACATATGTATATATATGTATGTATATATGTGTATATATACACACACATATATATACACATACACACACAATGAAATATTAGTCATAAAAAAGAACACGATCTTTCCATTTGTGACAACATGGATAAAGCTACAAGGTACTATGCTAAGTGAAATAAGTCAGACAGAGAAGGACAAATACTACATGATATCACTTACAGGAGGAATATAAAAAACAAATGAAAAACAAAAAGGAGAATCAGACCTATAAATACAGAGAACTGATGGTTTCCAGAGCAGAGGGGAGTGGGGGGCTGAGCAAAATGGAAGAAGGAAAGTGGGAGATAGAGGCTTCCAGTTATGGAATGAATAGTCATAGGAATAAAAGGTACAGAGAGAAATAGTTACTGAGGTTGTAATACTGTTGTATGGCAAAAGACAGTAGCTACACTAGTAGCAAGCACAGACTTATTGAATCACTATGCTGTGTACCTGAACACAATTGCAAGTATAATTGCAAGTCAATTATACTAAAAAAAAAAAAAAAAGCTGTGATAGCCTGACCTGTGGGATGTGGAATGCAGTTTTTTAAACAGTTCAACAGTAGGAGGAAAATATAAACCAAATATTTGTGAATGAGTGCAGAGTAGTGTGATGTTAGCAGAAAGAAAATACAAAAATGATAAAAAAAGGGAAATTTAGAGTGGAATATAGTGTTTCCTTTCTAGAATATCTGGGAATGGTGGAAGAGTTTGACACAGATGCAAGAATTTCAAAATCAAGTCATATGTAGGATTGAATAGAGATTGTTATGAACTCAATTGTGTTCTCTCAAAATGCACAGGTTGAAGCCACCCTAATCCCCAAAGTGGAAGCAGGGCCTTTAAGGAGATTAATTCAAGTTAAATGAGGCCACAAGGGTGAGGTTCTAATTTCTGGAACTGGTAGTCCTTATTATACGAGGAAGAGACATCATGGAGCTCTTTCTCTCCATACATGCACTGGGGAGAGGCCATGTGAGGACACAGAAAGAAGGTGGTCATCTGCAAGCTAGTAAGAGAGGCTTCACCAACAATCAATCCTGCTGGAACCTTGATTTTGAACTTTCAGCCTCCACAACTGTGAAAAAACAAATGTCTGTTGCTTAAGCAACCCAGTCTGTGGTACTGTTATGGCAGCCAGAGAAGATGATGTAGAGATATAAAAGGTAGGTAAAATGAGATCAGATGGCTAAGAAGGACAAGGTCAGAAATTAAAAGATGAAAGAATGAATGGAGTATATATTTCAAAAGGAGGCATATGATGAGAGAAAGGAAAGGCTGAGTTCTAAAAAAGTAAGTACTGATCATTTTAATCTCACTCCAGGGAACCTATCCTTGGCATTAAAGTACAAACTCAGGTCTCTCTGGGGACTGGGGGAGTAACACGGTGAGTGAGAGAAGCATGTGAGGGGTAATACAGTAAACTGGCAAACCAGAGAGTGGATGACCATTGCAGGGGAGGCAATCCACTGCCTCAGCTCCACTCTTGGATGCCATAGGACACTGTGGCATAGGAACTGTGGTCCAAAACTTCAGATTATCTTCAAGAGAAGTCGGAAGTCCGCATTTATGTGAAATCTTTTTGTATTTGGGCGACTGAAAATTGTGCGCGCGCACACACACGCACACACTGAACCCAACCAAGGATACTAGGACTGCATCTTGCTGGTGGGCCCTAGTTCTTGATCTCTGCTCCAGCCACAGAGCATGTGCTGGCCTCAGGGTACCCCAGGTACTTTCACTTTAGTTCACCTAGGCCCTTCTCTTTTTGTTCACCCTGTCTCAATATGGTCTTTAAGACTTAAATGCTGTCTTATATATTTTTTTATTTAAATTTTTATTTTTTTAAGATTTTATTTATTTATTTATTTATGAGAGACACACAGAGAGAAGAAAAGACATAGACAGAGGGAGAAGTAGGCTCTATGCAGGGAGCCCAATGCAGGACTCGATCCCAGGACCCTGGGATCATGCCCTGAGCTGAAGGCAGACACTCAAACACTGAGCCACCCAGGCATCCCACTGTGTTATATATTTGGCTTTCACTGAGCACTGTGGGAAAATCAAACTGTGATCCTCTCCACCTTTGTGGAGATCCTCTCCACCAGTGTCCCATTCTATATAGATTAGAATCTAACAGAAAATTACCTTGAAAACATATACATCTAGACTTTTGGTTGTAGCCAAGATGGAGTAACGGAGACTAGATATACCACTTGCCTAAAACCACCACCACCAAAAGCCCCTCCCAAACACTGAACAAAAATGAAACAACAGTTTTCAAGCCAATGAATCACTGGCAACAAAGGACACTGATACCCAAGAGATGGAGAATAAACGAGATGAACCTGATGGTCACCCATCTTACTACCTTGAGAGTTTCCAGGCCATAACACAGGGAGATGAAGCCTGCATGGGTTCTGGTGGACTCCCTGACAGCTGAGGGTCTGAGGACATGAAAGTGGCTACAGTTCAGAGTGCCAGGGAGGAGAAAGCTTCACAGCGAGAGAATGTGAAGTTCTGCAAAGGGTTCCCTTCAAGTATTCAGCAAGTATTGATGAACGGATGCATCTAAGGAAATTTCCTGAAGCCAGAACAGTGCTTGTTCCTACCAGCCAGGCTGGAAAACCTCACAACTCAGAACACACTGCATAGAGTACCCAGAGGGATTGTGTCTGTAGTGAGGAATAATTATGGCTCTGGTCCCACCTAACAAATCTTAAAAGCAAGACCTCAAAGGATCAAACTGTTCTAAGGTAGCTTAATTATATTCTAGAATAGAGCTCAAGGATACCTATAGAAATACAGAAATATGTAGCAACCCAAAGGTAAAAATTTCAATGTACAGCATCCAATAAAAATTTACTAGGGGGGGGAGTGGCAAAGAAGTACAACCCACGATGAGGATAAAACAAATTGAAATGAACATAGATGTTAGAATTATTAAAACAATGTTAGAAAAAACATTACAGTTATTAAACTATATTCCACCTGCTCAAAAGGTTAAGTAGACACATGGAAGACATCGAGAAGGGCCACAATGAAAACTAAAATGCCTGAGGTGAGAAATATACTGGAAGGGATTAAAGTCAGAACAGATGCTGCAGAAAAAAGATCAGAATCAGATAACTTGAAGACATAGCATTAGAAACTATTAATAGAAATTAAATGGAACACAGAGCAAGAGAAAAGATACTCTGAAAAAAAGAATTAAAAAAAAAAAGTATCAGTGAGCCATGGGACACCTTTATGTGACCTAACAGATGTGTAATTGGAATCCCCAAACAGATGGATGCAGAAACAAAACAAAATAAAACAAAACAAAACTGAAGAAAAAAGGCCCAAATGTCCCATATTTGAGGAAAATATAAACCTACAGATCCAACCAGTCCCTAGCGCAAGAAACATAAAGAAAATTATGATGCTATGTACAGAAGAACAAGATAAGCATAATAGTCTATTTCTTGTTGGAAAAAACTGCAGGTGAGAAGGCAATGAAGCAACATTTTTAAAGTACCAGAAAAAAAGTGCAAATCTTTCAACACGGAATTTTACGCCAAGTGAAAATAGCTTTCAGAAACAAAAGTGATCTAGTTCTTTTCAGACATCTTTTCAGTGAAGGCATTTATATTTAGCTAGCCAAAACTACAAGAAATGTTGAAGGGAGTCTTCCAGGTGTAAGGAAAATGATAGCAGGTGAAGATATGATTTACAGAAAGGAATTACAAAATACCAAAGATGGAAACAAAATGGGCAAATATTAATATTTTTTATTCATTCTCTTTAAAAGATGACAGTTTAAACAAAAATAATAACATCCTGAGGTGTTTATTTTTTATTTTTATTTTTTTCTGAGGTGTTTATAACTTAAATGAATGTATGACTATAGGAGCATGAAGGTCAGGTGGGGAGAAGGGAAATGTACCATCTTAAAGATTCTGAAGATACACTGTGATAAAGATTTGTATTTTAAATCCTAAAAAAAAATCCCTAAAATAGTGAAACACAGCATTACAAATACTAAGCTAATAAGAAAAATAGATAAAACATAATCTAAAAGCAGAAAAAGATGAAAAAAGAACTGATGAGACAACTAGAAAACAAAAGCAGTATAATAGACTAAAACTCATCCATATTAAATAATTGTATTAAATATAGATGTTT